ACACATTCGAATAGACACTTAGACTTTAATTCATCTCATTCACTAACTGTTAAGGCAGGCTTAGCTAAGTGTCTAACAATCCGAACAACAGCACCAACTAATACAACAAAAGACCTGAATGATGAAATAAAACAGATCCAGGAAGCTTTGGTGTCATATAACTATCCTATAAAAATGATTAGGAAGATCAGAAAGGTCAGAAGAAAAATAAAATATAACAGTGAACATCAAAGTTCTCGTTCGGAAGATTTGAGTTTGTGTAGAATTTTAAATTTAATACAGCACGTTACTCAATACATTTTCACTACTTTCTCAACTGGTTAAACTGTTGGAATACTATTTCTAAAGTGGCCTTAGCTTTTATTCCATTATGCATAAAATTCTCATATCATGAACTATCTTTTCAACATAGTATCAAACATTACCCTGTATTCAAAACTTCTAGACTTAGACGGTTTGGGATTCGAACATACTCCAATTATTTAAACATCAATCTGATTAGAACAGACTATCTCAGATAGCGCCTAATCTTTCTTTCCTAATTCAATATGACTCCGACTGTGGTGAGAAGAGCTGAATTTCAGTCAATAATAACGTTTCATCCTATCTTTGAGAAAAACAAAATATTCACAATTTGGTATAGGGATGCGACTAAACTGAATTACAGAATACCCCAGGATGAGATTGTTTTCTGACGTACATTTGAATTTCTCTCATTTTTCTATCCTATATAGGTTGAATACATTGGAGTTATACTTTTTTGTCTTCCTTCCTAGCCGTTCTTACACATAACTACTTGTAGCCAAAAGAAAGTAACCGCTTTATAATAGACTCTGTTTACATTTACATTTGTGTGAAAGTATCATTCCTCAGTGATATTTTCAGTATAGTTAAAATGGTCAACTGCAGATTATACTTTTTGGAATGTTTTAATATAATCACAGTATCCGTCTAACATTCACAAACATCTCCTGAAGCTTTATTGACTAACCTCTTCTGTCATAAAAAAATAATTTGCAGGTTTGATGGCTAATTATAGCCTATGTCGAACAAGAGTAGTTTCATGAAGAATTTTTTTTCAAAATTACTCATCTTCACCGAGTCAACCATTAGCTAAACCTTAGCTGAATTCTTATGTTTCGACAATCTGACTAACCCCGATCTACTAGTTTGACTGACCTATGTAGTTGACTTAACTCAGTCATTGCAAGGTATTTTGTAAATTTTATTATTTTGTCTAATTGGGTCAACAAGGTTCTTTAACCTACATAGCTTGTCTCTCAGTGAGTTTGTAGGTTTAAATGCCACTCTAATTCCTGCTTTATTGAGAATCCTACGCAGGGTTCAGACATCCCTTACTTATACGGTCGAACTATAGATGCCCTATATTCTCTCCTATTTATGTTATCCTTATTAATTTCATTATATTTTATTTTTCTTGTGACCTTTCTGATCTTCCTAATCATTTTTATAGGATAGTTATATGACACCAAAGCTTCCTGGATCTGTTTTATTTCATCATTCAGGTCTTTTGTTGTATTAGTTAGTGCTGTTGTTCGGTTTGTTAGACACTTAGCTAAGCCTGCCTTAACAGTTAGCGGATGAGATGAATTAAAGTCTAAGTGTCTATTCGAATGTGTTGACTTTTTATAAACGCTAGTGTACAGTTTACCTTCATCTGTTCATTTTACTCTACAATCTAACATAGCTAATTCTCCTTGTTCATTTTCTGATTCAAATGTAAATTGTATTCCCCTCACTAGTGAGTTTATATGTGTCAAGAAGCTAGAGAGAGATATGTTCTGTTTCTAACACAGCAGTACGCAACCACCGGGGTTCGAACCCAAGACATTCTGGTTACAAGGCGAGCTCGTAGACTATTGAGCCACTGGGACCCGATCCAATGGTTCTTGAATTCTAACTTCTGCCAATTCACGACATAGCGCGACCACTTCGCAATGTCTTCTTCGATGAGTTACTGCCTCATCTTCGACCTGCTGTACCCTACTGCTGAAGAGTCCCAAACCAGGACGAAACAGCTATCCAGTAATCCCATGTTTTCCAATGGTTCTCTAACTGATGTCAGCTCAAGATTAAATCCTCCATATATATTATTGTCATTATTTTCAACAATAATGATTAAACTAAGGACAAAATAGTATTCGTTATAGTACAAAAAGCAGCATTCACTCGATCTGTTACAAAAGACATTCCAACTAGTCAATGACACAGATAGACTCCTACTCACGAAATCTCCTAAATGTCAGCCACAGACGCCCAACTCATTGTATCATATTTGGCGTTCACTCGAAGACCTGCAACGCAACGTTCTCCTCAGTGTGTGTCCTATCCACGTCCAGTTAGTTTCTTCTGAGTATTTTTCGGGCAATGAGTTCTTGGTTAGTTCGTTGCCAGAGTTTTTTGTTGCTTTCGTTCCTTTCTGGCAATCCGATGTTCAGTATCGAGAGAAAGCAGTTGTTGATGAAAGTATGCAGCCTGTTGGAAATGCTTCTGCTGACTCACCAAGTCTCTGAACCATGTAGAAGAATTAACTTGGCATCAGTGGTGAAGATCCTACCATTTATGGTGATTGCAGTAGATTTTCAGACTGATCCTGTATTAACGAAGGTCTCTCTTACCTTTCCAAACGTAACTTTGACATCCTCATCTGTGCCGCTTAACTAAGATTCCCTAGGACTTCTCTTTTAATCTTAGCTAACCAAACTCTATTGAGTGATGATTTAAGGTGTCCAGTAAGTTTCCATCTATAATTCGACTACTATTTATTATTATTATCATTATTATTATATCCTTTAATTCCTAGAGGAGCATAGGGCTTCGACTACTATAAGTACGCCAAAGTCAGCTACAAGTCCCACCTACTGGTCCCACTCCCATATAAGTTAAGGATCCAACAAAGTCTCACCTAATGCGTCTTATGAAGTATTTTCCTCCTCTATAAGGCCAACGGGTGTTTAGACCTTTTCGGTATTAAAGGTTGTAAAATTTTTATTTCTTTTGTTTGGCTGGTAGTGGAATCCGGAACACGCGTTCCGTCCTTTTCAGGTTCATCTGCAGCTATGCGATGTTTTCCCCCATGGAAACCAAACACATACCATGCACCATTTTATCAGCCAAAGCTTCAACCATTAATCTACTTAGTTAGTGTATATAACCATAATTCAAAGAGCAAGTTTCAGTAATTCGTGAATAGGCATAATTTCCACCTGCTGACTGATTGCTCTTCATTGGCTTATGAGTCTCCAGATGCTGCGATATTTCCTTGTCACCAAAAGAATACCTACATACATGTGGCCTGTTTAAAATTTAGGCTACCAGAAACCTTCATCATTATATTGCATATAACTTCTCTGGTACTTTTGTTTTAATCTATTAAAATATGATCTTTAATGGTATTGTTTACTCTTGCGAGTATTCAGGATGTTTACAGCCTGCTGATTCACAAATTTCCACTGAACATGAGGGAAGACGTAGTCGTGGGTGGCAACGTGCCCCAATATATGAGATAACTGTTTCTGGGATTTTTAGTACAAACTGTCACTGCCAGAGAAACACAACTAACTGCCTGAAGTCTTTAATCATTCAGTTATCTCCTTGAGTCTCAAAATGTATCCCTGCATTTTTAGTTGACTTCTAACCAAATGTTGTGCGTTTCTCAAAGGAGACAAAGAAGAAATATCATAAGAGATTGGTTTGCGCTTCAGGTCAGATGGTATTGTTTCAAGTGATCTACTGTAAATTACTATTTCACTTGGAGATCCTGGACGAAAAGGGAATATTATGTGACAAATATCGTTGAAAAATTGCGATGAACAAATAAATCCAGAAATAATTATTTAACACTAAGTAGGTGTAACATAGAAATTCGTATTTGGGCTAAAAACCATGTGTCATTTATGCTCAAAAAGATTTTGAATTTAGATCGAGTAGCATATAAAATAAAATTCTATCGAAGACTGATCTAGTTGTTCCACCGAACAACGTTATTAGTAAATATACATTAACTAATTAACCATTTACCAGATTGGAAACTGAAATTAAAGCCATCCTCACACGTACTATCTAACTGTTGATGAAGGCATTCATGAAAATAATTAATGAATAATGTTAATTTAATTAGTGTCAAATATTATCAGCCCTGCGTCTTCAATGAACACAACAGACAGTATTGTTGACTACACTGAAATTACTAATATTGACTAGGAATGAAATTTGGAAGATGGACAACACTTGTACTACAATGTCTTGCTTCTGAATTCACATATAGCCGATTGTTTCAAACACAATGGAAATAATGATTGCAACAACAACAAACAAACATACTGGAGACTCAGACAAAGTTGTTTCCAGATATCATCGGTTAAATTAATTTGGTATTAAGTAGACTTCAGGCGTGACGTATATATATATAGTGAACGCTGTGAAGCGATGAGATGATATATGAGATCATTGATTATCATTTGATGATAACTTGATTCAACAGTTGTTTCGTAAAAATGTTTTCATTGACTTCTATAATCACGCTAAAAATGATAATAATGACATGAGATTTTACAAGTTGTTGTTGTATAAATAATAATAATAATCATAATAAACGCCATGGAATTAAGCTGTAAATTACTGACGGTTGGTTTATCTACAGTTGTCTGGTTGAAGATATGGTAAAGTGAAGCATATATATATATATATATATATATAGTGGGCTAGTAACTTCTCAACTGTCTGTGATGTATTACGATAGATTCTTATTGTTGATCAATACAGACGTCATTCACACGGTTGTTGTACCACCCAGTTGATTATTTATTATTTTATCTGATACGCCATGACGACTGAAACATTAGATTGAAAGGGAATAAGAAAATAAAGAAACAAAAGTTAATAAATTGAGGAATTATGAAGAATACATCAACTGATGGATAACAACATTTATAATAAAACTAAAACCCCTAATCACTAATCAGAAACCATCACTACACATGAAGAAAACTGGAATAATTAAAACAGATAAGGTTATTAAAATGACTGGTATTATGCCTAAAAAACTAAAGACAAACAAAAACAATGTCGATGATAATAATTATCATAATAAGACATGGCAACTGTTGTCTGATGACCTATTCTGTGTTGTCATTCGTGATCATGCTGATAAATTGTGTATTTACAGTAGCTCGGGTTTTGTAGTGGATCCATATGCTGATTCATTTGAATCTGAATACAATGAATTCAGCTGTATTAACTTTATTTAATTCACCATATTGTTTAGTTAATTTTGAATATATACATATTAAGAACACCATATGCAGCGATGACACTCCTTTCAGAGAATTTATTATCAAGCTGTACAGCCGAATGTGCATATATATATATATATATATATATATATATATATATATTCGGTACTTGATGTGTTTATTTACGCATTTGTTTGCCTTGCTTCACTTTACCATATCTTCAACCAGACAACTGTAGATAAACCAACCGTCAGTAATTTACAGCTTAATTCCATGGCGTTTATTATGATTATTATTATTATTTATACAACAACAACTTGTAAAATCTCATGTCATTATTATCATTTTTAGCGTGATTATAGAAGTCAATGAAAACATTTTTACGAAACAACTGTTGAATCAAGTTATCATCAAATGATAATCAATGATCTCATATATCATCTCATCGCTTCACAGCGTTCACTATATATATATACGTCACGCCTGAAGTCTACTTAATACCAAATTAATTTAACCGATGATATCTGGAAACAACTTTGTCTGAGTCTCCAGTATGTTTGTTTGTTGTTGTTGCAATCATTATTTCCATTGTGTTTGAAACAATCGGCTATATGTGAATTCAGAAGCAAGACATTGTAGTACAAGTGTTGTCCATCTTCCAAATTTCATTCCTAGTCAATATTAGTAATTTCAGTGTAGTCAACAATACTGTCTGTTGTGTTCATTGAAGACGCAGGGCTGATAATATTTGACACTAATTAAATTAACATTATTCATTAATTATTTTCATGAATGCCTTCATCAACAGTTAGATAGTACGTGTGAGGATGGCTTTAATTTCAGTTTCCAATCTGGTAAATGGTTAATTAGTTAATGTATATTTACTAATAACGTTGTTCGGTGGAACAACTAGATCAGTCTTCGATAGAATTTTATTTTATATGCTACTCGATCTAAATTCAAAATCTTTTTGAGCATAAATGACACATGGTTTTTAGCCCAAATACGAATTTCTATGTTACACCTACTTAGTGTTAAATAATTATTTCTGGATTTATTTGTTCATCGCAATTTTTCAACGATATTTGTCACATAATATTCCCTTTTCGTCCAGGATCTCCAAGTGAAATAGTAATTTACAGTAGATCACTTGAAACAATACCATCTGACCTGAAGCGCAAACCAATCTCTTATGATATTTCTTCTTTGTCTCCTTTGAGAAACGCACAACATTTGGTTAGAAGTCAACTAAAAATGCAGGGATACATTTTGAGACTCAAGGAGATAACTGAATGATTAAAGACTTCAGGCAGTTAGTTGTGTTTCTCTGGCAGTGACAGTTTGTACTAAAAATCCCAGAAACAGTTATCTCATATATTGGGGCACGTTGCCACCCACGACTACGTCTTCCCTCATGTTCAGTGGAAATTTGTGAATCAGCAGGCTGTAAACATCCTGAATACTCGCAAGAGTAAACAATACCATTAAAGATCATATTTTAATAGATTAAAACAAAAGTACCAGAGAAGTTATATGCAATATAATGATGAAGGTTTCTGGTAGCCTAAATTTTAAACAGGCCACATGTATGTAGGTATTCTTTTGGTGACAAGGAAATATCGCAGCATCTGGAGACTCATAAGCCAATGAAGAGCAATCAGTCAGCAGGTGGAAATTATGCCTATTCACGAATTACTGAAACTTGCTCTTTGAATTATGGTTATATACACTAACTAAGTAGATTAATGGTTGAAGCTTTGGCTGATAAAATGGTGCATGGTATGTGTTTGGTTTCCATGGGGGAAAACATCGCATAGCTGCAGATGAACCTGAAAAGGACGGAACGCGTGTTCCGGATTCCACTACCAGCCAAACAAAAGAAATAAAAATTTTACAACCTTTAATACCGAAAAGGTCTAAACACCCGTTGGCCTTATAGAGGAGGAAAATACTTCATAAGACGCATTAGGTGAGACTTTGTTGGATCCTTAACTTATATGGGAGTGGGACCAGTAGGTGGGACTTGTAGCTGACTTTGGCGTACTTATAGTAGTCGAAGCCCTATGCTCCTCTAGGAATTAAAGGATATAATAATAATGATAATAATAATAAATAGTAGTCGAATTATAGATGGAAACTTACTGGACACCTTAAATCATCACTCAATAGAGTTTGGTTAGCTAAGATTAAAAGAGAAGTCCTAGGGAATCTTAGTTAAGCGGCACAGATGAGGATGTCAAAGTTACGTTTGGAAAGGTAAGAGAGACCTTCGTTAATACAGGATCAGTCTGAAAATCTACTGCAATCACCATAAATGGTAGGATCTTCACCACTGATGCCAAGTTAATTCTTCTACATGGTTCAGAGACTTGGTGAGTCAGCAGAAGCATTTCCAACAGGCTGCATACTTTCATCAACAACTGCTTTCTCTCGATACTGAACATCGGATTGCCAGAAAGGAACGAAAGCAACAAAAAACTCTGGCAACGAACTAACCAAGAACTCATTGCCCGAAAAATACTCAGAAGAAACTAACTGGACGTGGATAGGACACACACTGAGGAGAACGTTGCGTTGCAGGTCTTCGAGTGAACGCCAAATATGATACAATGAGTTGGGCGTCTGTGGCTGACATTTAGGAGATTTCGTGAGTAGGAGTCTATCTGTGTCATTGACTAGTTGGAATGTCTTTTGTAACAGATCGAGTGAATGCTGCTTTTTGTACTATAACGAATACTATTTTGTCCTTAGTTTAATCATTATTGTTGAAAATAATGACAATAATATATATGGAGGATTTAATCTTGAGCTGACATCAGTTAGAGAACCATTGGAAAACCTGGGATTACTGGATAGCTGTTTCGTCCTGGTTTGGGACTCTTCAGCAGTAGGGTACAGCAGGTCGAAGATGAGGCAGTAACTCATCGAAGAAGACATTGCGAAGTGGTCGCGCTATGTCGTGAATTGGCAGAAGTTAGAATTCAAGAACCATTGGATCGGGTCCCAGTGGCTCAATAGTCTACGAGCTCGCCTTGTAACCAGAATGTCTTGGGTTCGAACCCCGGTGGTTGCGTACTGCTGAGGAGTCCCAAACTAGGACGAAACAGCTGTGCAGTACTCCCAGGTTTTCCAGTGGTTCTCTAACTGATGTCAGCTCATGATTAAATCCTCCATACAATCAAACCAAATCCCTACAAAACCAACACTTGAAAAATAATATATATACTTTGGTGTATATGATTAATTGTGATTTTGCTTATTGTTCATTGGTTACTTCTACTAATTATACACCGAAATTTTTAGTTAAATTGAAAGCAATTTATTTAATGAAGTTGTGGTTTTATGGTCGGAGAGGCGATCAGACAGACGTATGGATTAATGGATAGGTAGATGGGTGAATGGGCGAATAGTTGGATAGTTCGCTTGTAATGTGATTGGCTTAACTTCACTAGTTCTAATAAAGTTTTCACTACTGTAATCAGTGTTGCTACCGTTAATATTGAAATGTGTTTTGTGGATTATTTATGCAGTAAAAATATATTGCTTAATAGTGTAAATAGTATATAAGTAATTATCATGATAAGCGAAATAGATTGATAAAATCTTATGAGTTGGCAGACGGTTAATTTTTTCGTGAAGAAAAGGAATAATTTCAGAGAAAGTAAACACTAAAGTAAACGTATTTACAATAGAAAAGAAATATGAACCTAATTGTAATTTGTTTACAACAAATAAATAGTTTTGAGTATCCTATGGTTCCTTTGCAAGGTTCAGTGTAACAGTTTGAGAAAGGTAGTCGGGAATTTTTGCACGGTGGTTTTATACAGCTAGATTAATGTAATCCATTTTTGAAATTTTGCACAAAAACTGACATATTTCGGTTAATTTAGAAAATAAACAATAAATAAATAATCAAATTCATCAAGCTATCTGGAGGGTCAAATTACTACTTTACTTTATCTTATGGAGCACAATGAAGTTACGACAGTAGGTCATTTTGCTGAACTAGGGTTCTTAATTACGTTATGATATTGTTTTCTTTGATTTAAGTGATCACTCTATATCCTCTTGTTCTCTTTAAATAAACTAACTATGCAACTGTGGAGACCAAATTTAAGTCTGATATAAATGTCTTCGAGTGTCTCTTGAATCGAAGTCACATCATCGTCAACTTATCCGTCAACATCCGTCACTTATCATTTTGTACTTTAGAGCAATCAAAACCGGCGTGTAAATAAATATCCAACATTGATCAATGAATCCTGACCTAGGGACTGATTGAGAAGGCGTTTCTATGATGAACTAAGGTTCCTAGGATTTCTTCATACATATATTCTCCCTTTATGAATTTGAATACAGCAACAATAACAACAACTTGTGCAGAATACGATGATGATGATGTCACTTATGTCGTTGGTTTTTCTCTACCTGCGTACAACCGAATAAATTGAATATATGTACAGAGAGATCTTAACTTATATGAAAGGGTGCAGGATATCAGTTTACAGGAGTCTCCAGCATTGCACTCATATAACCTGCACACGTATGGTTGTTATTCCCGCAGATTGGTCCTCAGTGCTGAGGATTTTTGATGTAGTAATTGTTTACTCTTCTTTATTCTTGAAACATAACAGAGGCTGTACAGTTCTCTTTGATTTTAGTTGATAGGATTTTCTAGGTTTCCATATGCACTACATGATAAAAATATGCCAATACTGAGTTATGAATTTGATAGGGGGATGGTGTAAGGGTAAGCACCTAAGTGATATGAAATAAAGTCAAGTAGGAAATTATAGTGAAAATGTATTGAGTAACGTGCTGTATTAAATTTAAAATTCTACACAAACTCAAATCTTCCGAACGAGAACTTTGATGTTCCAATGCACACTGCTGGTCAGAAATCCAGTCGGCTGCAATCGTCGTATTTGGCCTATTTGTGGCTTGGGATATTCGTCATTTTTATTCTCAGTGTTACGCGGAATTTCTTTCTGTCTGTTTTTCCAGCCACCAAAACT